TTTAGAGAGAAATGAGTGGGAAAAGCCGCTGATCAGTGCTGTCCACGGCGGTGAGGAGGTGAGGTTTGGAGGCTCCTCAAACACAACACAGAGATCATCAGAGCTCTACATGACTTCAATATGAAGAGACACTAGTCCGCTATCGGCTCCCTTCACCGTCAGCCTTCAGTACTTCTTCCACATTTAGTTTTGAGTCTTTATCAGTGAAGAGAAAACACAAGTGACTCTGCTTTCAGACTGCACTGAGGAGTCCCGGGCTGGGTTGAGTCTCCACGGTTCTCATGGTGTGTTTAAGTGCAGCCCCGTGCTCTGAGCTCTTCAACAGTCAGTCAGACTCTCGTGTTCTCGTGACTACTAACACAACGATAGAAAATGGCAGAAGTAGCTCCAGCTCCAGCCCCCGCGGCGGCCAAAGCAGCGAAGAAGAAGGTGTCCAGGCCGAAGAAGGCTGGTCCCAGCGTCGGTGAGCTCATCGTTAAAGCTGTGGCCGCATCCAAGGAGCGGAGCGGCGTGTCTGCTGCCGCCGTGAAGAAGGCTCTGACCGCCGGAGGATACGATGTGGAGAAGAACAAGTCCCGCGTCAACACCACCATCAAGAGCCTGGTGACTAGGGGGACTCTGGTCCAGACCAAGGGGACCGGGGCCTCAGGCTCCTATAAGATGAGCAAGACGGCTGTCGAGAAACCGGCAAAGAAAGCCGCTCCTACAGTCAAGAAGCCCGCAGCTAAGAAACCCGCAGCGGCCAAAAAGACCAAGACAGCGGCGGTAAAGAAACCAGCAGCAGCCGCTAAGAAATCACCCAAGAAGGCAAAGAAACCCGCAGCGGCCAAAAAGACCAAAACAGCAGCCGCTAAGAAACCAGCAGCAGCTGCTAAGAAATCACCCAAGAAGGCAAAGAAACCCTCAGCGGCCAAAGAGACCAAGACAGCGGCAGTAAAGAAACATGTGTGTGTGATGCAGCCAATGGGTGATGGGCTTAGTTTTAGCTGTATGGCTGATTGTAGGTAAAACAAATATCAGTGTTTTATAATCCAGTTGAAAGTAAGTGTGAGCAGCTGCATCAGCTTGTTTATCTGCGTGGAGGTTCAAGATAGTGAGAGTCAAGATTGAGCCGCATAACATGATAAATGTGCAGCAAAGCTTCACATCCATAGACAGAAACACACGGGTTAAGAAGCCTGCCAAAGACAGAATGTAACCGTAATACTTTGCACTGTTAAACCAGATTTATTTTCATTTAGCTAATGTAAAATCATAGTAACAATAAATACCTCAATTCATTAAAACAAAGGATGTCATATGTTAAAATAAATTAAATCATATGTAAAAGAGTGAATGTTATTCACAGGTTTCACACTCGAATATAGCAGTGTAATGTGGGAAAACAACACCCAAAGAGATGCAACTCTAAACCAGATCCTTTAGAGCAGAGGTCTTCAACAGGGGGCCCGCGACCCCTAGGGGTCCGCGGAGGTACTGCAGGGGGGGTCGTGACATTTTGGTTGATTAGACAATTTTTCTTTTTCAGAAATGTAAACGTCTTTGAATACACATTAACATGAATCCAACATATTGTAGCGAATGTATGAATGAAGGCAGAAGATGTTATCTTTCAGACAGTAATGCACACATTCAGCAACACACAGGAGCTCTCTCAAGCTGAGCACCGGTTCACTCACAGCATGAGAGACTAGCCTGGACCTGTCCCTCCAAGCCTCCTGCACACAAAGAGGAGGACCCGCCCCTATCGCTGCTGTGCCAATCACGAGGCCGCATGTTACGTGCTGGCTCTGTCAGGTTCCCCGTGATTGACTGAGAGCCTATTCAGTCCCCAGCTGACTAAGGGTACTTCTCAAGTCTCTTAATTGCATCCCAGTTTCCCTCACTTGCATCCTTTCCTTGCGTCTTAGTCCCTCCCACCAGGGATGCATGGAGGAAACCATGCGAGGAGAGAGGAATGAGGAAATATGTTTTAAGAGACATGAGACGTCCTTTCCTCAGTTGCGTCACGTGAAGCGACATCTGTTTCTGATGAAGGAGGATCAGCTGATCACAGCTGGATCAGCTGTCAGTCAGCTTTAACAGCTGGAGAGACTTTTGAGAAGTTTGTGTCTGTTCACATGATCACTGTACTTAATAATAGTAACTAATAATACTAATAGCTAATAAAGACACACAGTAATTACCACTGTGGAGGTATTTCTCTCTGTAGTCTGTTAACAAACTGTGTCCTGTGTTCTGTTTATAAGCACAGGATCGATTTATACCAGCGGAATGCAATCGTCTTATTTATGAATTATCTGCGTCTGTACGTTTTTAAATTGTGACTGTGGCATCATTATTAAATAAACCAGAATATGATTATTGTTTCACTTAAATGATAAAACTCATCAAACCCTCAAGAATGATGTAAAAAGTGTTTCTCTGACTTTAATTGTATTCATAATAAAAGTTATTGAGGGAAATATCAGATCATGAAAACACAAATCTTTCTAATAAATGAAGAAAGTTGTTTGTGGTCATTTTGTTGTTCAGACTACAATGAACATTTATTTAAACCAGATGGTGAATCAGAAACCTAATCAAATATAAACTTGAGTTTATTCTGTGATCTGTCTTCACTCTGGTGTTAAACTCAGTCAGTCAGTCCGATCGGCTGCAGCGTCCAATCACATAACAGATGAACAATGAGGGGGCGTGTCGGCCGTTAAAAGACTTCCTGGAAGTCTGTTCTCGTGGTTCCTCGCTCATGGCTCCTCCGAGGTCCCTCCGCCATCCTCGATCCTCGCTCCTCCGAGCTACATGAGAACTTTGGGACGGCCGTCAATATGGCGGCGCAGAAACAACTTCCGGTTCAATCGAGGAGCGAGGAAACGACACTTAAGAGACTTGAGAAGTACCCTAAGATCCCAGACACAAGGACTCACCCTGCAATATTATTTGAAAAGAAGATACCGTTGTAAAAAAGTAAATTAATAAAATTTGTAGATGCTTCAACAAATTTATTTCTGTATGAACCATCATCTGAAAAAATAAAATTATACGAAGTGTGGGTCTGTAATATTGTCATTAGTTTAACATGAAATTTTGGGGGAAACTGCTTAAATAAGGAGCCACGATGACACAGTAGTCAGACACTTATAACCTGGAAAGTTCCTAATACAGTTGTATAATTGACTTTAAGTTCTTAAGTGACACATACTGAACATCCTGGTGAGGTCGTTTTGTTTCTTTTCCTTTTGAATTTAATTTTGTATATAAGTAGCCTATTAGACATCCTGATCCACACTCCATACCAGTT